GTTTTGAAACCGCAATATCCTACTTGTACCTATAGCCCTATAACATGCAAAAAAAAGCATGTAAACACTGGGTATTTTAAAACTCAGGACAAAATTTTGAATCTATTTAGCAGTTTTTTTTATTTGCTTTTGTAGATGAGTAAAAGTCAAAAAACATGTATGTTTTTAAATTTTTCATCATATTTTTTTTATTTTTTTTAACATTTAGTTACATGAGATTATATAAATAATGGTATGTGAAGAAAGCATTTTTTGTCCTGAAAAAAACTATATATAATTTGTATAGGAAGAGTAAACGAGAGAGCGGAAAATTACAGCTAAACACAAACACCACAAAAGTGTAAAAAGAGGCCTGGTCGCAAATGTACAACATCGCAAAAACAGTCCAGTCCTTAAGGGGTTAAACAGGTCGTCTCGGTTTTAGAATTAAGAGGGTCTATAAGTAACCTCCCCTGTTTTGTTTTTTTTGTTTTTGTTTTTTTTTAAACAAATCTTTCCACTACCATTGAAATCCTCGTGAATATAGCTGTGTACCGTTTAGCTCGACGCATTTTAAAAATGATCTACAGAGAATACAGTGAAACGAGGATTCAGTTTTTGAGATTTAGTGAGCTGTACGAAATGGACTTCTTTAACAAACTTGTTTATTTGTGAATAGACCCAGGTGGTATGTAAAGAGTTAAAAACACTATAGAAATCTCTTAATTCAGTGTATACCCCGACTTACCCACATATAATACGGAATACCCACAGACAACCAGTGTTCCCTTAGTTGATTTAAGAAAATGTGCAAATCCATTGATTATTTTCATTTAGTAAAATATATTTGATGTATTTTTATACCCAAATGATTCACACATTCTTATTAAAGCAACAATGGGATTTCCAGTTGTCTGTTGGTATTTTATACACATTCCGAGGAGAAAATCTTTTTTTTGTGTACAGGGGGAAAGAAAATGTGATGATGGCCCTGCTCAAAAGAACTTGCAATCTAATGTTATATTCTAAAGAGCTGCTCTGCGGTAGACACTAGGGTTCTTCCATATTAAGCACCGTTCCACATAGAAATTGACAGCTTTAATTAAATCTGTCACTGGGCTGGGGGGAGTATGAGACAAAATAATGGAATGAGAAGGGGGAACTTGAAAAGATAACACGTACAGGTTAATTATCTGGGGTGGGGGATAGGAATAATATGAAGGGTAGATGGGAAAGTAATAAAACGGGGAGTAGGAAAAATAATGCTATTGAGGTAAGCGATGGCTAATCTTGCCTGTGAAGTTATAAGTGGACTCCATTTCCCATGGTGCTTAGCCAGCCTTAGGAAAATGTAATGTGGTATCGTGCGCCATGCCAAGTTAGCCATGGCTGGGGGATGGGATAAATGATACTATGCTGTGTGTGAACATAATCTCTATTAGATATGGTGATATCCTCGTTTTGATTATGCTAACCATTTGATTGCAGCAATCTGATACCTACCTCCTCGTCTCCCTTTCTAGGTTAAAATAAAACCTTCACTTAATATTAAATTCTTTTGGATCATTTAGCCCACTTTTAAGTAAATCCCTTGCTTTCCCCTTCATATAGCACTGTAGTCTCCGAATATAATAAATTATAATTTCTCGTAAGATCCCACTGTGAAGTTATTTTATTTTTCTGTAACCTCGTGTATAGCGTCTCTCTTTATAATGCTGGGTCTGTCTGTTTAACGGATTGTCCAGTGATGCAGATTATGTCTAAGGGTATCACGTGATTTTATTTTGTAATGATTTTTTTTTTTTTTTTATTGTTATAACAGAATTTAGTAACAATAAGCTTATGGTACATCGACCCATTTTCAAGTCTATATCACTCGTTTTGCATGTTGGGGAGGTCTCTCTCAAAACTTTGTTATTCCAAAATTCTTTAATTTCAATAAATAATATATTACGCAACGCAAATACTCCTATTTTGCATGTGTTTGTGCTACAGTTTCAGGTTACCCTTCATGTTTGTGAAGGAGAGTCTTGGCGTGGACTTGCTAAATGTTGAGACTTTAAGGTATCTGAATTTAGCTCTGTTTTAATGAGTTGGGGCCTCAATCCTTGTTGTGTCTTGATTTCCAGTGAATCGTCGCATGGCAGGTGCTTTGCACACAGAAGGTTTATGAGGATCGTTGCCCTGCACATTGGGTGACTGGGGGATAAAGGTTGCTGGGTGGGGAGCTGTGGGGAAGCTCGAGGGGGAGGTAGGCTGGGGAGAGAATCTAAGGGACTAAAGAGATCTCTGTGGATTCCTGGGGCTGTGGGAGGGCACACACCAGGTCTGTAATTTTCCAGAAAGCTGAGAGTAAAGAAAGCCAGAGATACAGTAATTATCATCTAGATTTAGTCTATACCTTTACCCTGTCATATACAGAGCAGGTAACGTGTGTGTGTGTGCGATAGCATATGTTACATTCTTTACGAAAACAAAGAGAAGCACACTGCTACTCAAGTGGTATAACAATCTTTAAAAAAAATTTTTTTTTAAAAAGACAGATGTTCAGTCTGTAACGATACCATAACCAGTAAAAAAAAACATGTAAGGATCCGTAAGATTCCACCTTCACAAATCTACCCTGAGTCCACATCTTAATATAGTGACTGTTCTGAACTACGAATTTAACATTTTGCTTACCCTGTGGTTTCGGAGTAGGAACCAAAGAAAATGGGGAGGGGCGGTTAGACTTTCATAATAATCCCAGCTTCACAGTTTTTCTACAGACGAAACAATATATTATCACTAGGGAGCCTATTAGTAAAATGGGAAATGGGATAATTGACTTTTTTTTTTTTTTAAATATATGTTTTTTGTTTTTCTTATCTTTCTTAAACCGTGAAACATATGGCACTAAAAGCTACACAGGGTGTGGGTTGGTGGGGTTTGTCCTAAATCCATGTCCTTCCGGGCCCTGATTTTGGATTATACCCACACCCCATTTTCGATCCATTGGTCTGTGATCATTGGAACGGACGTCTTTGTGCTTTATATTACTTTGCGTCGTGGCTTCTATGTAGTAAAATCTACCACTGATATGTAATGTCTCCATTTTTTTGTCTTTGCATGTTTTGATGTCTCTGTTGGCCATAACATTGACGAATCTAGTCAACCTGTCTGTTTGATCACATGATTACAATCCGGTTAATATCACAAAATATCCTAACCCTTAACAGACTCCAGATGCAGACAAAGAATACTATGGGTGATGTGAGCATAGGGGAAATTTTTGGGGGGACAAAAAGGCCATCACATTACACAAATTTAGTGTCACAGTTTTCACTCACTCCATCAGCCCCTGGAAAATAAATCAGAAAATATAATGTATGATATTTAAAACTTTTTTTACCAGTACTAACTTCATCGAAACGTGTCCCTCGTGGGCTCCGCCATCTTGATCCACCACATTGTCTTCAGCACCTGGCACTTAAGCTACCAGGAGCAAACGTCAGTGCTGTACTCTCACACATGCGAGCTAGTACAGCATTAAGGTCTATGGAGGATCCTGCAACACCATTGGATCCTCCATAGACCAAGCTTTCTTTCCACCAGTGGGGGGTGGGGAATGACAAGCTTGACAAAAAGTAGCTTCGTCCGGTGTCAAGCGTAAGAAAGATACTGAGACAAAGTAGTCCTTGCGGGTCCCTCCATGGCCGTTGCTCGCGAGTTGACAAAACACTAGCTCTGTCTTTTGTCAAGTTACATTTTACCATAAAACAAAGTAGTGTCTACTGTTACAAAGTATAAACCTACACACTATATGTACATGCGTTAACGTATATAAATACAATAAAAATTGCTACAGGTGTTCACTGGTAAAAACCAAAGGAAAAAGTTACCTGCGCTCTTCCCAAATCTCTATGCATATTTAAGCAAATGGAGGTTATTTAGTTTCTACAATGTAAATGAGAGACTTTAGGCCACCTGCAACGTTAAGGCAAACCTCTCAGGTGGGTCCTACACTAACCTTTCACTTTGCTTCCCTGAGCTTCTAGCAGAGATATCTGTAATGAGACAGAAAAGGGTATTTTATTTTATTTTTTATATACACCCCTACATGCTTATTAACCCCTAATAAGAAACACATGGGATGGGCGGCAGCATTGTAACATAGCTGTGTGATACAAAAGTGAATACAAATACAAGGGAAAAAAAAGTCCTGTGCTCAAATTCTCATTACTCCATGAGAGACTTTAGCCCACCTGCCACGTAGGACCCACCTGAGAGGTTTGCCTTGATGTGGCAGGTGTGCTAAACTCTTAATGGCCATTGGAGAAAATAAATAACCCCCATTTGTTTAAATATACATAGGGATTTGGGAAGAGTGCAGGTAACTCTTTTTCTTTGTTTTTTACTGTATGTATTGGGGCTGATGTGTACTATGGTCATTGCTGCCGCCCAGGAGTGATGGGAGTTTGAGCACAGGACTTGTTTTTTTGTTTTGTTTTTTGTATTTATGTTCACTGGTAAAACTTTCTTTCTCCAGATCTGCTATCCTGCTTAGGATGCCAGATGTCAGTCATTAAGTGTGAATTGTTTTTTATCTTAAAGTGAATTCAGATTGAATTTCCAATTTCGGTTTGAAATGGTCGAAATAAACAGAAACCTAGTTTTATGGAAAATGTTCAATTCACTTTAAATTTGCAGCATTTTTCCCACTTGCAGTGCACTGCACATGTGTGACTGGCTATTGGGGCCTGGCCTTTTACATCCACCTCCAGCTAGGCCGTTATTTTGTCTTTGGTTGGGTTTCAGACAAACACTATGTAATGAGTGCTAGCTTATAAGCAGAAATTCAAAAAAATAGGAAATCTTGCAAATTAATTCTGTGTGTATGTATTTATACAGAATATCAATGACACTGTATGTTTATAACCACACCTGCTTACAAGTGCAGTGCTCACAGCGCCTTTGATCCCTCCTGCTCACACATTACCTGATGTGTAGGCAGTACACCTAATCCGCTGCTGTAACTGTAGAAGCCTGTGGGGGAGGGTAATTAGATGGTGAGGGGTGTATAAGTCCTCGTTGATCTCTAACCCTATCCCTCAGCTTAACCTGGTGGCAGTTTGGGCAGCAATTATCCCCCCCCCCCTCCCTGCATGCGCGCACACTGCCATGTTGCTGGACGAGCCAGTATTAGGAGAAGTGGGATCAGAAATTAAATTATTGGTGCAGTGTTGGGAGGAGGACAGTCCAGCGCTGTAAGGGTTAATGCGAGCAGCGCACTTACTGGCAGCCTAGCGAAGAGGAAGCACTCAGTGTGTGCATGCTTTCCATTCTGGGTATACTCCTTCACACAGCAAGCCAAGACCTGCTCATCCCCCCTTTCCTTGCTCCAAGGCCACACTGGCAATCAATTTGATATATAATTTTTTTTAATTTGGGGGGTTGAAAAATGCTGAAAACCTTGCCGTGTTCTATGCACGGACAGAGATATGGACCCAATATTAGTGTCTGTGCATTGAAATAAAGACAGTACCTTAAACCATTTTAATGTCAGTGCAGTGTGCAAGTCAAATAAACCTTCTCCCCGCAGCTGGAAGGGTTAATGAAAAACGGTTAGTTGGATTTTTTTGTTTTAATGGGTTTTTTATTCAGTTTGGCAACAGGTTAACCTCTTCCTCTGCCTTATTTTTTTTTTATTTTAGATCCGCTACCGGTTTCCATGGCCGTTCTATAAGTGGTAGAAAATTACAGTTTATAGAGATATTTGCCTGTATGTTTCCTATCCTCCACCCCAGTCCATTTGACCCAGCACCCCTTCCTGCTCTCTTCTCCACATTATCTCTTACTTGAACCCCCCCAGTCCATCTGCTCCCACCCCCAGCAAAACAGCTGGCGGCTCCTTCCTGACACAGTCCCCCCTCCTGCTGTATTCCCTGCCCCTCCATACAAAATTCTGCCAGTTTCCTCTTATGTCTCCGGGAGGTATAAGGGAAAAGGAGGGGGTGTTTCCTCCCCTGCCAAAGTTAAAAAGGTGGTTTCTGAGTTACAGAGCCGGATGACTGGGACCCTCCCTATTCCCCGAATTTCCAGATTCAAGAGACAAGAATATGGACAGCAAAGGGGATGGGAGTGCAAATGACACACACACAGCTATTATTATTGGCATTTATATATCGCCAAGTTTTTCCACAAAGCTTTACAATATAATAAAAGGGGGAAATTTAACAACGAATGAGACCATTACCAAATGTTACGAAAGCCATAGGGTGATGAGGACGCTGCTCAAATGAGCTTACAATCTAGAGGCTATAGAGAGGGAAATTCTGTTTAATAAGATGCTAACGAGATTAATTCGCATTTTACAGACTTGTTTGTAAAACACATACATTTAATATAAAGAGAATGGGTCTGTTATCGAATATGTCTGTAAACATCTGCGTGAGAGTCCTTAGTTATTGGATCTAACTAAACCATGATTTCTGGTATTTTATCAATTTCAGCCGGCGCCATATTGGTAGCTGATGGTACGTTATAGGGCTTCGGGCTGCCAATGAACAAATCGTTAATTGAACATTCCTTTAATGATCAAGGACGTGTTTGCATTCACACCTGTCTGCTCTACTGAAGGAGTTAACTACTGAAGGAGTTAACTATACTGGCAGGTGATCCTATAGGCAGATGCCTGTGAGATATCCCCAGTAACTTCAATGAACTCTATGCACAGGAAACCAGATAGATTTAAATAGAGTTTTTCTTTGTATTTGTGGACGTTCCCAGTGTGTGTTCCATAGAGGAGTCCTGATGAATTCATACATGTTTTGGTACTGGCTTTTATGTAGCTTTGAAATAGTCGTATTAATTAATATTTATTTATTAATTAATTGTTTCATTTTGTAACTTGTTGATTTGGCAACTCAAAACCCGTCTTCTCTTGACCCACACAGGTCTCTGCTAAGATTCCTCAATCTGCTCTCCCCCGCCTAAGGCTTGGTGTCTCTCATTCCCCCCATCCTACCCCTGTTGGCGTCTCTTGTGCATCTTTCATCAGCTCCTCACCCTCAGCCGTTATGTCTTTTCCCTTATGTTCATGTCTCCTGTACTCCAGTCTTTATTCCTCTGTTCTATCCCTTGTCACAACCATCTTGTCTGCACCCCTGTCACGGTTCTCACCTGATAGACAGACGGCAAGACGTGGCCGCTCTTGGAGTTCCCAACAGGGGACTTGAACCGGGGATCTTCTCAGTCCTGGTCCTGCGTTCTACCTCTGAGCCACAGCAGCTATTTACAGTGAAGACTGATTCCAGTCCTGTTCATCCTGACATGGCTACTACTCTGGGGGCTGCACCTTGACTTGGCTGTGTTTCACCTGACTCTGATCAGTCATCAGCAGGGTATATAAACCCAGCCTCGCCCTGTGCTCAGGGTCAAGTCTTTGATCCTGTTTGTTCCAGTGTTCCTGTTTCATCGCTTCGCATTATTGACCCCGGCTTCCTGACTCGTTTATTCTGACTTCTGGCATCCCTTGACTTCGGCTACTCCTTGTTGTTCCTGTCCTCTGGCATCCTTTGACCTCGGCTATCCCTCGACCATCCTGCTGGTTCAGTCCTTGCCTGTCCTGCGTATTGGTACTGCATCCTGCACAGCCCCCGTGCACAGACCCACAGGCCAGGTGAATTCTTACCTGACCACCTCGGCCTGTGGCTATCTGCAAGGGTGAGCATCATATCTGCGCTACAGACTCCCAACTCAGGTAAGACCCTGACATAAGACTTGACCATTATGGAGTCCGCAGAGATGTGCTCACCCTCGACCCAGCGTGTGTCCAGCCTGGCCCAGACTGTTTCGGAGCTGCAGCAAGAAATTTTATTCCTTAAAGGCGCAGTACATCCAGCCCCGGAACCAGCTTTTCCTGAACCGTTTGTCATCATGCCCGACCGATTTGATGGTAGCCGCACATCCTTTCAGTCTTTCAAGATGGATTGTGAGGTGTTGTTTTCTTTAAAGCCTCGAACATATGCCACAGAATTCATCAGGGTCAGAGCGGCTATCAACCTGTTGTCTGGACGCATCAAAGTTTGGGCTCACCAAATGTTGCAGACGAAGAGTCCTGTCCTGGTCAGCTGGGAATCCTTTAGTACTGCTATGGACTCACAATGTAAGACCACTGTGGCCAAGTCAGCTCCACGTACTAAAAAATCTCAGATTCTTCCTAACCAAGTAACCGAGTACCACCACTACGCCCCAGAGATGCCTCCTTATGTTCCAGCTTCCAGGAAATCTCCAGAGGTATCCGGTGTTCCACTTGACCCTGTGGATCCTATGCAATTAGGACTCGTCCACTGCAAAGTGACACCTAAGGAAAGAGACCGAAGGAGAAGCTATGGCCTATGTTATTACTGTGGAGAAAAAGGGCACTTCATCACGCTTTGTCCTGTTCGCCCTCCTAGACCTCCAGCTCTCCGACTTGGTACTAGTTTCCTTCGCCCTGTGTACACCGCATACCAGCCTAAAAAGCCAAATAGAAGCCGTTGTGCTTGCACATGCTTGGCTTCCGCGAGAAAACCTCCATCCCCTGCTCCAGAGCCTCCTGCATCTACTCCCGAAGTTGCTTCCTGTGATACCACCACTACTTCCTGCCCGCCCGAAGAGGTTTTACCTGTGGATTGTGCCGTTGCTTCTAATGGCACTATAGTCCGTAAAGAAGACCTTGAAATGTTCGAAAAAGCATTGTTAGCTGCGAACACTGCTCCTGCCAAAGTTTTGGAAGTGCTTGCCACCTGTACCCGGAACCTAAAAGACCTGGACAATTCTCCAGCCGTACCAGAAGCTGGTACTGCGGACTCCCAAGCTGTAAAGGGAATCCTTGCTGGGGAGTTTGACTATGGGGACTCACTGGATTCAGATAGTGACCCTGGAGAGGTGTACTATGCTGACAGTGAACCTATTTACGCCCGGAGGTCGTTTTTAAAGGGGGGGGTACTGTCACGGTTCTCACCTGATAGACAGACGGCAAGACGTGGTCGCTCTTGGAGTTCCCAACAGGGGACTTGAACCGGGGATCTTCTCAGTCCTGGTCCTGCTTTCTACCTCTGAGCCACAGCAGCTATTTACAGTGAAGACTGATTCCAGTCCTGTTCATCCTGACATGGCTACTACTCTGGGGGCTGCACCTTGACTTGGCTGTGTTTCACCTGACTCTGATCAGTCATCAGCAGGGTATATAAACCCAGCCTCGCCCTGTGCTCAGGGTCAAGTCTTTGATCCTGTTTGTTCCAGTGTTCCTGTTTCATCGCTTCGCATTATTGACCCCGGCTTCCTGACTCGTTTATTCTGACTTCTGGCATCCCTTGACTTTGGCTACTCCTTGTTGTTCCTGTCCTCTGGCATCCTTTGACCTCGGCTATCCCTCGACCATCCTGCTGGTTCAGTCCTTGCCTGTCCTGCGTATTGGTACTGCATCCTGCACAGCCCCCGTGCACAGACCCACAGGCCAGGTGAATTCTTACCTGACCACCTCGGCCTGTGGCTATCTGCAAGGGTGAGCATCATATCTGCGCTACAGACTCCCAACTCAGGTAAGACCCTGACAACCCCCTACTTCTCCTCCAGAGCTCCCAATGTTTGTTCCCCTTTAATTAATACTGCCCCCTGTGCCCCCCATGTCTGTATCCCTGCTCCTTAATACTGCCTCCTGTGCTCGCCATGTCTGTATCCCTCGTTCCTGCCCCTTAATACTGCCCCCTGTGCTCGCCATGTCTGTATCCCTCGTTCCTGCCCCTTAATACTGCCCCTTGTGCCCCCCATGTCTGTATCCCTGCTCCTTAATACAGCCCCCTGTGCTGCCCATGTCCTCATCCTGCCTCTTAATACTGCTCCCTGGGCTCTCTGCTCATTGCTGTTGACCCCCCCCCCCCACTAAATTTGAGGTCTTCTTTGACCCCACTGTCTGTTTCCAGAGTAATAAACTGGAAGGGGTTTATCACCTTATAATTCGCCAGATTCCCTTCCCCCTTGTACATTTACCTGTTCTGTTCTGACACATCACCAGCTTTTACAGAGATCCGTTTTCAATTATTTCTCATAAATCCACTTCAAAAGAATGTGGGGGTTATGCATAAAGAGCCATTCTGGGGCAAAGTTCTAAACGTGTAACTGGAACATTCCATTGGTTTCTATGGTGATTGCTCCACTGGTAGAACTTTGCCCCACAATTCATTCTTTGTAGATATGGCACAATGTATCTGAATACCTGCCCCAGCCTGCCTCTCCCACTGCACTCCCCATCTGTGCCTGATCTTCGCATAGACAGGCTGCTTTATTACATTGTGTGAAACAGATCACCTTTTTACTTCCATAGATATGGCTGTTGGCAAATGCAAAGTGTTAATATCTACCCTTCCTGCCTGGAAATGGTTAATCAGTAAAGGACAAGAGGGTGACAGGATGAGGGTAGATTAGGAGGAAGCTCCATATAGCAGATGGCTCTAGAGAGATGGGGGGGAGAGGAGTGGAGACTAAACCCCCTTCTCTAAGGAAAGAGAATAGGAGGAGGGGGGGGAATCATCGCTCTCAACAGATGGAGGGGGCATCGGTTCCCCTTTAACTCCTTCACCACTCCAGAAGGGCAGTGATAAACTGTGCCGCTGAATTCTGTAATTAAAATGTCACCGTATCCTGTTATGAAGAGAAAGGGTTAATCAGATTTGTACTTGGCCCCCCTCCAGTTGCCTGTAACTGGGAGCTCTCGATTAGGTGGGTTCAGTGTGGTGAATTATAGGAGGGGGATTTTGGTACAGAAATGACCTTCCTTCCACCCCCACACCTTATTGTCACAGACGTGTGACTTTGGGAAGGTCCCTTAAGGGGGAGAATGAAAAAAGAGACAGTGTCTGAAGGAGGGGGAACAAAAAATGCAGGGTTTAGTGACTCAGTCCCAGCATCCCCCCTCCCCACATCCCTTCCAGCCTGGGTATATATAGATATATTTATATAGAAATGGACAGATTGTATATCTTGTTGTTGTAGATACATGCAGAGCGGGCTAGTGTCATCCACAGTGGTCTATAGGTGATGGCTTGGTAAAATTCGAGGGATATTATAGTAAGAGAGGCAGGTGAGGGAACAGCGAATAGCATCATTGGCCAAGAATAAATTGCTATATAGAGCTCTCTCTGGATATAATGAGAATCAGACGGTGGACTCCTGGATAGAGAGACATATGTAATTCTCTTTGTCTATCTACCCTTCACCTTTCTATTTCTGGAGATATAGCTCCCCTTCCTTTGTCCTTTATCTTCTGCAAATCACCCCCCCCCCCACCCTTCTTTGCTACCCCCACCACTACCACCACCGTGCACCAGCTAATTGCATAAACCCCATCATGTACAGGCGCCGTCAAGCTGTGTTTTTTTGGCAAGCAGCTTAGGGGTTAATAGTATATCTCTCTTCCACCTTCCCCCAGTCCCTTCCCCTCTCTGACCTTTCCACTAATATCTTTCCTCTCTCCTCCCCACCCCCTTCTTATCTCCCCCTGGGGCTGTTTCCCCCTTCCTCCCTGCTCCCTCCCACCCCCACGCCCTGGTTTCTATTCCTGGTCTGTATTTATGACTGACCCCCTTCTCTGCTCTGCCAAACCCACAGTTTCCATCATGAGGGTGCACTGCCTACCAGGTGTGTGTGTGTGTGTGTGTGTGTGTGTAGAGGGGCAGGAGGAGGGGGGTTACTGGCATAAGAGAAGCAGCTGCAAACAGCTGGCATTATACCCACAAAAGCAAATCACTGTCCGTACCCCCTTACGGTGGGTAGGTTATAATTTAATAACACATATCGCCATAATAAACTGCACACAGTAGCCCCCACCAGTACTATTACCTGGATTTCAGGAAGTCCACCCCAAAGAGCAAGAATGATTGCTTTTATTATATCAAGCCATGATCTATACCATAAGCACTGTTTATATATGGTGCTGTACAGACTATATGTTGTTCCTAGCCTGCAGAGCTTGCACTTTAATGGCTGGTACTCATATGTGCTCAGGTAGGGTCCTGTGTAAAATGCATTAATGGGGCAAAGGCATACATCTCTGTCATTCAGAAGAAACATTACATCTGTTGCTATGGTAATTGCTCCACTTTTATATCACGCTTTAAATAATTGCCCCCATAGTGTAATTTGTCTAAGACGATTGCAAATGGAAACTAGAATTAGTCCATCCGGTGTGGTTAGCTGCTGAAATATTTTCAGTCTGTTTAATAGTATCCTGGTACATACGTCCCTAGCGTATAGTCTGTAAGGGAAAGCACAGTTAGAATATCTACGTTTTATTCTACATACACAGAGAATGTCACAAACTATCACCTGCTCTGGGGGAGTTTTGGTGGTCCCACGGCTCATCATGGTGTCTGTGAATTGGGTACATTGAAAAATTTGATTTTAACCTCTTAAATACCAACCAAGTTCTTTGCTGTCCTCAATAATATTTTGTTTAAATTGGCAGTCTAAGCACCATTACAATTTTGCATCTTTGCAAAGATTAAGGCGCAAAGAGAACCCTGCAGCCATTTGGACTGCGTAGAATGGCTTTTAACTCGCACGTAGACTGCTTAGAGTGACTTTTAATTCACATGACGTTCCCCGCTTTAGTTACGTCTATAAGAAACATATCAGCATGGCTTAAACTAGAACAGTTGTTAGGGAACACTATAGCGTGTTAGGAATAAAAATTTGTAAAGTTATAGTGATTATGTCTATAGTTGTATGTAGGTGTGTCGTCGTCCCCCTTTGTAATAAAAAATGATCAGAATAAAAGTTTTACTTGCCTCTAAAGCTTCCTCCATGCTCTTCACCTCTCCGCCTTCTGTGACATCATTGAGGAGGTGCGGCCTTTGCCCAGATGGTCCAATCCATTGCTCCTAGTAGAAGAGCAGTGGGGACCTAAAGCACATGTCCAGCAAGTGCAACTAAGTTTTCCCATTGCAAAGCATTTTATTTAGTACTTACATATGCTTTTTATATGGACCTCGCGTTACAAAGTTTTACTTAGTCAGTGCCGTGGAAGTGCCTCTGGTGGCTGTCAGTATTACAGCCACTAGAGGTGGGTTCAACCCTGTAACCACTGCACCACTGCACCCAGTCCACCCATTGAGATGAAGTGGTCTAGGTGACTATAGTGTCCCTTTATGAAATCAGATCTCTTTTATATCAAGGGATTAGATCTTGGTTGATATTCTATTCAAGATATGCTTGTTTTAAGTTGGCGGTCAGATTTCATATATCTAGATAAATGTAAGTTTGTTTAAAAGTGAAAATCATGTGCTTTAAACAATGTAACCCAAAATAACTGTTTTCCAAAAATACCTAACCACAGTGTCACCATCTGCCGGCAGGGCAGCATTTTATGAGCAAGAGTTGACAAAATTATTACAATTTCAGGCCAAAAAAAAAAAATAGATTTGGAGAATTTTTAAAAAAAAATTGGCTTTTTTTTACAGTCACAAAAATAACTTTAATGCATTGCTGATTTATACAAAACTGATCCTTATCTGCACAATGTGATTTCTCATTTTAGCACCAAATTCACCTGCACCTAAAGGCTGGACCTTGGACCTGTGAAACCGCAAACGCTGCCTGAGTCTTTGACAGAGCCGTACTAACAGCTGTGAAAATGGCCCTATTGACGCTGGACTTGAGGACTAGCAAAGCATCATGGGAAAGGGAAATAAAATAGCTTTATGTCACCATAGTCATTAAATATAAAATATTAGAATATATAGTATTAGAATCATATTGGATTGGTACTGGATATGTTTTGTAACCCGCCCGAGAGCTACTGATATAGGATCTTAAATTTGCGTGGAGTTAGGCAGTGGCAAATGGACTAGACATAGCTGGAAATATAGGAGAATTTATCAAATTCGCCAATTTTCCAGATCGGATATTTTGGCCATTAATTTACAATAGACTTTTTAGTTTTGTTCAGTTCTATATGTAATTCTCCTTTGCCTTTTAACCCATTCATGACCAATGATGGCGTAACGTCCCCCTGAATCAATGACTCTATAGGTGGCATTGCCATTTGGATGCCATTATTATCTGCACCCCTTATCTTTAACCCTCTAAGTGCCACACTGTGCAGGTCTTGTTATCGTTCAGCATTTGTGGGACCCGTCACTCACTTTTTTTTATTGACAAACAAAGGATTATTGTGCACCATAGGTGGATCAAAAGTAAATCTTGTACTCTGGGCAGGTGCCTGTTCCCTAATGTGTGCCCCAAATCAGCAAATTCTAAGGAGCGCCCACTTGATCCAGCCTAGAATTAGTTGTTTTCGTTTTGAGCACCCAGCTGCACTGATACCATATATAATTTATCAGCTGCGGGATAAATAGATTTGACAAAGGTGCGCTCGAGAGACAAGAGTAATAAATGTGCGCAGTGTGGGGCGGAGGTAGGGGGACAATCCGGACATAGGTAACAGGAGGGAGGGGGGAGTGTGGGCCTTGGTCTTTGTTCTGATGGAAAGACGTGGGAGAGGGGGACACCTGGAGCGATGGGGCAGGAATTCTCAGGGTCACAGAGGGTGTATACCTCCTGGAGGTGATGGGGGAGGGAGAATTGGAATTCGACTCAGAGAAATAAAGATCCTATTTAGTCAAATGTAGGAGCAAAAGAGAACCAGTGGTTCCATGTATAGTACACACAAACGTGTACCTAACATACGGTGAAGTCTGATACAGATTATCATTTATTTATAAAGTAACCTACTGTTCTGTGTCATTCTAACCATGAAAGAAATGGAATATAAAATTAGGAGGAGTCTGGCCGCATGTTATCAGGACAGGTTTATACAGCGCTGGGTTTATATCTAATTAAGGGGATCTGATTGCACGTTATTAGGACAGGATCAGACATTGCTGGGTTTATACCTAATGTAGGAGATCTGATTGTATGTTATTAGGACAGGCTCAGGCAGTGCTGGGTTTATATCTAATGTAGGGGATCTGACCACACGTTATCAGGACAGGCTCAGACAGTGCTGGGTTTATACCTAATGTAGGGGATCTGATTGTATGTTATCAGGACAGGCTCAGACATTGCTGGGTTTATACCTAATGTAGGGGATCTGACTGTATGTTATCAGGACAGGCTCAGACATTGCTGGGTTTATACCTAATGTAGGGGATCTGACTGTATGTTATCAGGACAGGCTCAGACAGTGCTGGGTTTATATCTAATGTAGGGGATCTGACTGTATGTTATCAGGACAGGCTCAGACAGTGCTGGGTTTATATCTAATGTAGGGGATCTGACTGTATGTTATCAGGACAGGCTCAGACATTGCTGGGTTTATGACTAATAGGGAATCTGACTGTATGTTATCAGGACAGGCTCAGACAGCGCTGGGTTTATATCTAATGTAGGGGATCTGACTGCACGTTATCAGGACAGGCTCAGACAGCGCTGGGTTTATATCTAATGTATGGAATCTGACTGTATGTTATCAGGACAGGCTCAGACATTGCTGGGTTTATACCTAATGTAGGGGATCTGACTGTATGTTATCAGGACAGGCTCAGACATTGCTGGGTTTATATCTATTGTAGGAGATCTGATTGCACATTATTAGGACAGGCTCAGACAACGCTGGCTTTATATCTAATGTAGTGTATTTGATTGCACATTATTAGGACAGGCTCAGACATTGCTGGGATTATATCTAATGTAGGGGATCTGATTGTATGTTATTAGGACAGGCTCAGGCAGTGCTGGGTTTATATCTAATGTAGGGGATCTGACTACACGTTATCAGGACAGGCTCAGACAGTGCTGGGTTTATACCTAATGTAGGGGATCTGATTGTATGTTATCAGGACAGGCTCAGACATTGCTGGGTTTATACCTAATGTAGGGGATCTGACTGTATGTTATCAGGACAGGCTCAGACATTGCTGGGTTTATACCTAATGTAGGGGATCTGACTGTATGTTATCAGGACAGGCTCAGACAGTTCTGGGTTTATATCTAATGTAGTGTATTTGATTCCACATTATTAGGACAGGCTCAGACAACGCTGGCTTTATATCTAATGTAGTGTATTTGATTGCACATTATTAGGACAGGCTCAGACATTGCTGGGATTATATCTAATGTAGGGGATCTGACTGTATGTTATCAGGACAGGCTCAGACAGTGCTGGGTTTATATCTAATGTAGGGGATCTGACTGTATGTTATCAGGACAGGCTCAGACAGTTCTGGGTTTATATCTAATGTAGTGTATTTGATTCCACATTATTAGGACAGGCTCAGACAACGCTGGCTTTATATCTAATGTAGTGTATTTGATTGCACATTATTAGGACAGGCTCAGACATTGCTGGGTTTATATCTAATGTAGGGGATCTGACTGTATGTTATCAGGACAGGCTCAGACATTGCTGGGTTTATATCTAATGTAGGGGATCTGACTGTATGTTATCAGGACAGGCTCAGACATTGCTGGGTTTATATCTAATGTAGGGGATCTGACTGTATGTTATCAGGACAGGCTCAGACATTGCTGGGTTTATATCTATTGTAGGAGATCTGACTGTATGTTATCAGGACAGGCTCAGACAGCGCTGGGTTTATCAGGACAGGCTCAGACAGCGCTAGGTTTATATCTAATGTAGGGGATCTGACTGTATGTTATCAGGACAGGCTCAGACATTGCTGGGTTTATGACTAATAGGGAATCTGACTGTATGTTATCAGGACAGGCTCAGACAGCGCTGGGTTTATATCTAATGTAGGGGATCTGACTGTATGTTATCAGGACAGGCTCAGACATTGCTGGGTTTGTATCTAATGTAGGGGATCTGACTGTATGTTATCAGGACAGGCTCAGACATTGCTGGGTTTATATCTAATGTAGGGAATCTGACTGTATGTTATCAGGACAGGCTCAGACAGTGCTGGGTTTATATCTAATGTAGGGGATCTGACTGTATGTTATCAGGACAGGCTCAGACAGCGCTGGGTTTATATCTAATGTAGGGGATCTGATTGCACATTATTAGGACAGGCTCAGACAGCGCTGGGTTTATATCTAATGTAGGGGATCTGACTGCACGTTATCAGGACAGGATCAGACATTGCTGGGTTTATATCTATTGTAGGAGATCTGACTGTATGTTATCAGGACAGGCTCAGACAGCGCTGGGTTTAGATCTAATGTAGGGGATCTAACTGCATGTTATCAGGACAGGCTCAGACATTGCAAGGTTTGTATCTAATGCAGGGCATCTGGCTGCACATTATCAGGACAGGCTCAGACACAGAGCAGAGTTTATTTCTAGCGTAAAATTACCTCCTTTCCAAGACAGACAATTTATGTCAGAGTGAACTACTAAATCCATTTGAATATGCATGTTCATATCCAAATCTACCTCTCTCTGTGTGTGGTATCAGCTACATAATCTCCTGGCCATTAAAGGGTTTCTGCAGGTGGAAATAAACTTCCCTAAATGCAGGAGAGAGGAGGCAGTAAGAAGAGGAAGCAATGACCCAACCACCTACTGTGAGGGACTATTTTAGGGATCCAAAAAGGGGAAGGTAGTCATTCTGTTATTCTCTATATGGGTATATAAAGGTGGGGCACGCAAACATGAAAAGAGGAACGGCTTTATCCCCCTGCCCCCTACCTAAGTGTAGTAAAGGTGCTTTATTTAATAAAACCCAAGTTCCCAATTTTATCCCAGTAACATTGGTTTTCTACGCAAGGCACCAACGTGATCTGCAGCGTAGTACAATAAGCAATGATATACAATTAATTGTGACAAAAAAAAATGTTTGGCATAATATAAAGGCACCGATCATGTGAAAAACAGCATTCTGTGCTTTGTCGCTAACCGTTTCTGACACAAGTTATGAAATTTCTGCAAGTTTGTTTTTGTATTGAGGCCTAAAACGAAATGACGCAATTTTCATTGTTTTGGCTCTGTACCAACACAATGCATTTTAAATTAAACAACCGAGATGCAACTGAAGTGCAGATGTTCCGCTTTAATTCAAGCGGTTGAACAAACATGTTGAATTAAATGTGTAGGAATTGCAATCATTTTCATACACACTCCCCTTATTTCGGGGGCTTGAATGCAATTGGACAAAGGAACACAATAATAAATAGAATGTCCATTTTTAATACTTTGTCGAGAACCCTTTGCGGGCAATGACTGCTTAAAGCCTGGAACGCATGGACATCACCAAACGCTGTGTTTCCTCCTATATGATGCTTTGCCAAGTCTCTACTGTAACTGTCTTCGGTTCTTGTTTCCTTGTGGGTCTTTCTGCCTTAAGTTTGGTCTTCAGCAAATGAAATGCATGGTCGATCAGGGTTGAAATCAAGTGATTAACTAGGCCATTGCAGAACATTCCACTTCTTTGCCTTAATAAACAAATGGATTGCTTTCTCGGTATGTTTTAGGTCATTGTCCATCTGTAAAGTGAAGTGTCGTCCTATCAACATGACTAAATTTGGTTGAATCTGAGCAGACAGTATATCCCTATACACTTAAGAATTTATCCGGCTGCTTCTATCACATCATCAATAAACACTAATGACCCGGTGCCATTGGAAGCCATGCATGCCCGTGCCACCACTCTGCCTCCACTGTGTCTTGCAGCTGATGTTCTTTGCTTTGGATTATGAGCCAAACCTTCGCCATACTTTTTTCTTCCCATCATTCTAATACAGGTTAATTTTAGTTTCATCTGTCCAAAGAATTCTGTTCCAGAACTGGCCTGGCTTTTTTTGGTTGTACTCTAATCTGGCCTCCCTATTCTTGAGGCTTATGAATGATTTGCGCCTTGTGGTGGACCTGTTGTATTGGCTCCTATAAAGTCTTCTCTTTATGGTAGACTTGGATAATGATAAACCTTCCTCCTGGAGAGTGTTCCTCACTTGGCTGGATGTTGTGAATGGGTTTTTCGTTTAATGGAAAGGATCCTACGATCATCCACCACTGTTGTTTTCCATGGACGCCCAGGCCTCTTCGTGTTGCAGACCTCTCCAGTGCGTTCCCTCTCTTCTCAGAATGTCCCAAACTGTTTTTTGCAGCCGAAAGGTTGGCCTGTTTCAGTTGCATTGAGAGCTCCTTTGACCGCATGTTGTGGGTTCACAGCAACTGCTTCCAAATGCAAACGCCACACCTGGAATCAACTCCAGACCTTGCTGCATATTAAAGAGCTGTAATTCCTAAACCCTTCCTCCACTTTGAATGTGAATACCCTCAAATTAAAGCTGAGAGACCGCACCTTAAGCCCATATTCATTATTTAACTGTAACTTAAATTTATTTTGGTAAACAGGCAAAGTAACAAAACTTGTCAGTGTGCAAATATTTCCAGACCTAAATGTGTAATGCCTCATTTTTGTTATCATGTAAAATGTTCAGTAAGGTATCTCACAAGCCAGAGCTGCGGTAAAACAAACTGGACTTATGACAACCACTTGCAGTATGAGAGGGAGTATAATAACTTAAAATAAATCGAGAATTATAACATCTGTGATAGCTGATTGGTAATCCCATATAGAGACATAGCTAAACAGAGTATCGGAGGTAATCCCATATAGAGACATAGCTAAACCGAGTATCGGGCACAATCCCATGTAGAGACAGTGCTAAACAGAGTATTGGGCACAATCCCATATAGAGACAGAGCTAAACAGAGTATTGGGCACAATCCCATATAGAGACAGAGCTAAACAGAGTATTGGGCACAATCCCATATAGAGACGTAGCTAAACAGTATTGGGCACAATCCCATATACAGGGAGTGCAGAATTATTAGGCAAATGAGTATTTTGACCACATCATCCTCTTTATGCATGTTGTCTTACTCCAAGCTGTATAGGCTCGAAAGCCTACTACCAATTAAGCATATTAGGTGATGTGCATCTCTGTAATGAGAAGGGGTGTGGTCTAATGACATCAACACCCTATATCAGGTGTGCATAATTATTAGGCAACTTCCTTTCCTTTGGCAAAATGGGTCAAAAGAAGGACTTGACAGGCTCAGAAAAGTCAAAAATAGTGAGATATCTTGCAGAGGGATGCAGCACTCTTAAAATTGCAAAGCTTCTGAAGCGTGATCATCGAACAATCAAGCGTTTCATTCAAAATAGTCAACAGGGTCGCAAGAAGCGTGTGGAAAAACCAAGGCGCAAAATAACTGCCCATGAACTGAGAAAAGTCAAGCGTGCAGCTGCCACGATGCCACTTGCCACCAGTTTGGCCATATTTCAGAGCTGCAACATCACTGGAGTGCCCAAAAGCACAAGGTGTGCAATACTCAGAGACATGGCCAAGGTAAGAAAGGCTGAAAGACGACCACCACTGAACAAGACACACAAGCTGAAACGTCAAGACTGGGCCAAGAAATATCTCAAGACTGATTTTTCTAAGGTTTTATGGACTGATGAAATGAGAGTGAGTCTTGATGGGCCAGATGGATGGGCCTGTGGCTGGATTGGTAAAGGGCAGAGAGCTCCAGTCCGACTCAGATGCCAGCAAGGTGGAGGTGGAGTACTGGTTTGGGCTGGTATCATCAAAGATGAGCTTGTGGGGCCTTTTCGGGTTGAGGATGGAGTCAAGCTCAACTCCCAGTCCTACTGCCAGTTCCTGGAAGACACCTTCTTCAAGCAGTGGTACAGGAAGAAGTCTGCATCCTTCAAGAAAAACATGATTTTCATGCAGGACAATGCTCCATCACACGCGTCCAAGTACTCCACAGCGTGGCTGGCAAGAAAGGGTATAAAAGAAGAAAATCTAATGACATGGCCTCCTTGTTCACCTGATCTGAACCCCATTGAGAACCTGTGGTCCATCATCAAATGTGAGATTTACAAGGAGGGAAAACAGTACACCTCTCTGAACAGTGTCTGGGAGGCTGTGGTTGCTGCTGCACTCAATGTTGATGGTGAACAGATCAAAACACTGACAGAATCCATGGATGGCAGGCTTTTGAGTGTCCTTGCAAAGAAAGGTGGCTATATTGGTCACTGATTTGTTTTTGTTTTGTTTTTGAATGTCAGAAATGTATATTTGTGAATGTTGAGATGTTATATTGGTTTCACTGGTAATAATAAATAATTGAAATGGGTATATATTTGTTTTTTGTTAAGTTGCCTAATAATTATGCACAGTAATAGTCACCTGCACACACAGATATCCCCCTAACATAGCTATAACTAAAAACAAACTAAAAACTACTTCCAAAAATATTCAGCTTTGATATTAATGAGTTTTTTGGGTTCATTGAGAACATGGTTGTTGTTCAATAATAAAATTAATCCTCAAAAATACAACTTGCCTAATAATTCTGCACTCCCTGTAGAGACAGCGCTAAACAGAGTATTGGGCACAGTCCCATATAGAGACAGCGCTAAACCGAGTATCGGGCACAAAATATCTGCACTGCCTAGAGTAAGAGACTAGTACATCTAAAATAGTAGCCATGAATTACTAAAAAATAACTTCAACCAATGCCAGTAAGTGGGATCAAGTATATTGACTACTGTGACCATACGGCCCTGGCATCTCTGCTATGGAAGGTATAGCAGTTCAGGTACGTTATTGTCCGTGGATTTCTTTCGCTAACCTTCACAGCTAACCGCTATACTAAGCACTTAGACGCAGTATTTTGAGTCGTGTATCCACTGGCAATGCAGGATATAGGTTCGTATAGGATATTCTATAGAGTCCACTGAAAATTTTCTATGAGTACAACAAACAGTGATCTATCTGGGTGCTTCAAGAGACACACAAACTCAGACTTGGTACCACAAACACACTTTATTCTGGTTCACAGACAAAATTTATAGCAGTTCTCCAAATAACACAAACAGGGACATGAGACGCACAGGGGGAAAGTAAATCATTTATAACAGGGTACATTTAAAACCAGTAATTTAATTACAGGTACACCAGACAAAAGGTAATGTTATTAAAAATATCAAACGCTAATTAACTGGAGACATCAGGTAATTCCAGACAGAGGGGGAAACATTGAATCCAATTACCAGACCCCACTCTGTCTCCCTAACTGTGTACAGAGGATGTGCCTGCACTGCAGGAGGTAAACCATCAACCATTTACTGTGACACAATGTAATCCTGCAGAGTCTGCTCTACCTCTAGAATTATGCTTTGTACATGAAGAAATAGAGGAACGTTATGGCCCCTGACACAACAAGGGACAACATAGACCTCACATGATGACAGACCAGAACCATTGTTCTGTTACAGTCCTGTTTGTCACAACTACTAACATTGACAAGGACCCAGGTCGAACATGTAGGAACAGATATTAGGTCACTCTGCCAACCCCAGGGCAAAATTTGAACCTGCTCCTTGCTCATGGATCTGGCTGCGAATAGCACCCAAGTCGTTAACTCGAGGATCCATCCACCCGCTGGTGTCCGCGTTGTCTAGCAACATTCTGATGGTGTGACTAGGTTGATTCTCTTCAAAGCTGTCTGCCAAGTTCAGTGGTAGTGGGTGTAAAATGTCCCAGAGTTTAAGATGGTACCTTGCGACCACCATGTATCCTTATCTGTGGAGTGCTGCAAAGTGTAAAGGAGAGTTTCTATTTTAGCCCAAAAGCGATCACAGAGAGCGCGAGTGGTTAGGCCCATGTGTCACAGCCATCTTGAAATATCTAGATTCCGTGCAGAGTGCTTAATGACCGTCTCTCGCACCTAAGAGAGTGTTTACCCCCACCGGTCCAGAGGTCTGTTTTAAAAGCTGGATTAGTTTAAGAACAGGGGATTAGCTGCTTCCCCAGCCTCAGACAATCTTGAAAGCTTTGGTATACACACGGTTATTTCCCGGTGTGGCAGTTCAAAAAGGGATCCGTGTGTTTCCGAAGTTGGAAAGAGTAAGTCAACTGTCAAATTTCTTGTAGATAAGCTGGAAGGGATTCTATAGTTCCTAACACTATAGTGCCTTCTGCCCCCCTCTCCCAAATCGAGGTACCCCTTTTGGCAGACAAAGGGTTAAAAAAAAATCCCTTCATTTGCTCACCCGATTCCAGTAACAATGTCCCTCGGTACTGGGTCAGCGCTCCGCTTCCTCTAATGTCAACTGACGGGGGGACGTAATGGGTACCTAATGCGCATGCATGGCGAGTTCTTCGAGTGTATTAGGCCCTCCCCATAACAAAAGCATTGACTAAATGCTTTTGTATGGGGTTTTCACTGACGGATGTCCTCATGCAAAGTGTGAGGACATCCAGCGTCGCTTAACAGAGTCAGACTCTGTTAGAATCTAGAATGCGCCTCTAGTGGCTGTCTGGTAGAAGGCTACTAGAGGCAGTCTTAGTCCTGTAAAGTAATTATTGCAGGACTAAGTGGGACAGGAACACTGCACCCAGACCACTTCAATGAGATGAAGTGGTCTTGGTTACTATAGTGTCCCTTTAAGTGTGCATAAAATGTGAGTTGCTCTGGCACCCTGTGTCTCCCTCACTATGCAGTCAAGAAACTGCCCCCAATACCACTGTTTTTCTATGCAAGGTACCAACGTGATCTGCAGCGCAGTACAATAAGCAAACATAGGAAAATAACTGTGACAGAATGTTTGACTTTAGGTGATAAGGACCCTAATCCGCAAACAAAATGATGTGCATCGTCACAATCTTTTTCTGACACTAGATTTAAAATACCTCTGGAGGGCGCTATTGTTAATGCCAGGTGTAAACACCCTCACCATGTAATTTACTAACGTGTGAATTGTCAGAAAATCAAAGTGAATTTCACATTTTTCTCCTTAATAATTTAACTGGAAAAATTCCACAAGACAGTTGTGTTTTCTTCAACTGTAGCATAAAATTTGGAATTGACTTTGAATTTGTAACACTTTCCTGAATAACCCTGACAATCTTAATGTGACTCTGTGCTTGACAGTTGGTATGAAGTCGGAATGTTTGGGGATATTTTTGTGATTCACTATTAAAAGGTGTGATTATAGCTCATAAGGCCACAGCCTGTTTACAATACCATGTAGAACGGCAGCCATCCTTACAGAGCGGATAACGTACATCAGGGCCGCCACCAGAAATTTTGGGGCCTATGATGCAGGACTGAATGTGGTGTGTATAGTGGAAGTGAATTAGAATGTGTGTAATGGATGTAGTGTTTGTGTGTATTAGATACTGTTTGTGCAGTGAATGCAGAGTGTGTGTTTGTGTAGCGGATGTAGTGTGTATAGTGAATGCAGAGTTTGAGTAGTGGATGTAGTGTTTGTGTGTACTTGATGCAATGTGTTTAGTGGATGCAGTGTCTGTAGTGGATGTAGTGTGTGTATTAGATGCAGTGTCTCTGTATAGTGAATGCAGAGTGTTTGAATGTGTGGTGGATGTAGTGTGTGTACTGTGAATACAGGATTTTTGTGTAGTGGATGCTGTGTGTATAGTTAATGCAGAGTGTGTGTTTGTGTAGTGAATGCAGAGTGTGTGTGTGTTAGTGTAGTGAATGCCGAGTGTGTGTTAGTGTAGTGAATGCAGAGTGTGTGTTAGTGTAGTGAATACAGAGTGTGTGTGTGTGTTAGTGTAGTGTATGCAGAGTGTGTGTGTGTTAGTGTAGTGAATGCAGAGTGTGTGTTAGTGTAGTGAATGCAGAGTGTGTGTGTGTTAGTGTAGCGTATGCAGAGTGTGTGTGTGTTAGTGTAGCGTATGCAGAGTGTGTGTTAGTGTAGTGAATGCAGAGTGTGTGTGTAGTGTAGTGAATGCAGAGTGTGTGTGTGTGTTAGTGTAGTGTATGTGTTAGTGTAGTGAATGCAGAGTGTGTGCTAGTGTAGTGTATACAGAGTGTGTGCTAGTGTAGTGTATACAGAGTGTGTGTTAGTGTAGTGAATGCAGTGTGTGTTAGTGTAGTGTATGCAGAGTGTGTTAGTGTAGTGAATGTAGAGTGTGTGTTAGTGTAATGATCGCAGTGTGTGTGTTAGTGTAGTGTATGCAGAGTGTGTTAGTGTAGTGAATGCAGTGTGTGTGTGTT